ATCATCGTCATCATCGTCGTCATCATAATCAGCGACAGCAGTCGCAGCTACAGCAGCAGCGGTCATCGTTATTATCATCAGCCCACAGCAGCAGAGATCAGCAACAGAGTCAGAATGTGTCTATTAGACTGGAGGAACCCGGTGAGCTATGAAGCTCTTTTCACAGATGTCCAGCCGGGGCCGGTCAGGACGTTACAACAGCAACCAATGGAAAAGAAATCACGATACGAATGTAAAGTATAGTAAACGTAAACAAACCAGTCAAACAAAAAAACTCAACACCACCATCAGCAACTACAGCAGGAGCTTGCAGCGGTCGTCATTATCACAATCAGCAACTTAATGATGATAATAATCATCATCAACAGCAGCAGTAGCGATCAGCATGATTACATGAAGAAATCGTCAGCATTGTTACAAATATCAACAGCGGGGAAATCATCAGCAGAAACAGCAGCGATTTTCAAAATAACTTTAGCAGCAGTAATGAACACATTCTCCTGCGGAGGGAGCTGGTAGGAACGTTGGGTTGCTCGGTCAATGGCCAGGGTCAACAACGGCGGCACCATGTGGTGTATTCCGCAAATATGCCCGACTGTGAGGGCGGGCACAAGCCGGCGTGAGTAGGTTAAACGTTGAGTTTTATAAGGGCACCACGGGGTGACCAGCCCCTCCCCACCCGGCCCCACCCCTCCCACCCCCCACCCAGCCCCTCCCTCCCCACCCAGTCCCTCCCCACCCAGCCCCTCCCACCCTCCCCACCCAGCCCCTCCCCACCCTCCCCACCCAGCCCCTCCCCACCCTCCCCTCCCCACCCAGCCCCTCCCCACCCTCCCCTCCCCACCCAGTCCCTCCCCACCCAGCCCCTCCCACCCTCCCCACCCGGCCCCACCCCTCCCACCCCCCACCCAGCCCCTCCCTCCCCACCCAGTCCCTCCCCACCCAGCCCCTCCCACCCTCCCCACCCAGCCCCTCCCCACCCTCCCCACCCAGCCCCTCCCCACCCTCCCCTCCCCACCCAGCCCCTCCCCACCCTCCCCTCCCCACCCAGTCCCTCCCCACCCAGCCCCTCCCACCCTCCCCACCCGGCCCACCCCTCCCACCCCCCACCCAGCCCCAACCTCCCCACCCAGCCCCTCCCCACCCTCCCCTCCCCACCCAGTCCCTCCCCACCCAGCCCCTCCCACCCTCCCCACTCGGCCCCACCCCTCCCACCCCCACCCAGCCCCACCCTCCCCAACCAGCCCCACCCCTCCCACCCCCCACCCAGCCCCACCCTCCCCACCCAGCCCCTCCCCACCCTCCCCTCCCCACCCAGCCCCACCCTCCCCACCCCCCCACCCAGCTCCGCCCTCCCCACCCAGCCCCTCCCCACCCAGCCCCTCCCCACCCTCCCCTCTCCACCCAGCCCCACCCCTCCCATTTTTGGATGCACGACGGACGGACACAATAATCCCTTGTGGGCTGGTGTAGTAACCAGGAGGTTCCTACCACTATAATAGTTTGCATCAGCAGCAGCATCAGCAGCACTGCCGTCATCAGCATCATCATAAGAATCTTTATATAGACCGCAGGAGAAATCCGATGAGCTATGAAGCTCTTTTAAACAGATGCCCATCTTGGGCGAGTCAGCAAGCAAACAATACAGCAAAGAGAAAATAGTGAACAGGTTACTAAATATAAATAATTTAAATTACAATGTCCGATTTGGTAATAGCAGCATCATGGTCAGCATCATCAGCAACATCTCAATCGTGGTAGATTCAGGAAGTAATCACCTGGACGACGTCGTACAATAAATGAATGTACTGTATTAAATGTGCACCGATTTAAAATCAAGCCAAACGAATTCTCCACTTTGCCAACGCTGACCAGCTGACCGGAACAGGGGGGGAGGAGGTGGCACTAGTGGTGGGGGGAGACTGGGGGTGGGTGGGTGGGTGGTGGTGGGGTGTGGATGAAGGTGGAGGGGGCCACGAGGTGGGGGGGGGGGGTGAATTATTCTCGTGACGGGTCCTGTGACTCTGGTGGGGGTGGGGGGGATGCTTTCGAATTCCATCCTCGCCGAGTTGAAAGAAGTCTAAGAGGCAGGGTCGGAAGGGCGCTAAAGCGCACAACTCCCATTCTACAATCTGGGGAGGGCAGGCGTCGATGTCTCATAACCCTCTCTGTCAGCAACAGCGGCAACAGCAGCCATGGCCAATCCACTGCTGGATGATGGCCTCCCCCAAGCCGCCTGCGTTGCAGCAACGAAATCCGGCCAGCACGCTCGTTCGCTCGCCACACACGGAGCTGCTTCGTGTGTGCGGTGTCGTCGTGCCTTGTCATTGATTGTTGTGCTATGAAGGAGGGCCGTTGTCCGAAACGTCGCCTTTAAAGTGTATTTTTTAATTTATAGATTTCGTGACTGCAGGGATTCATATTCTTGGTTCTTTCGGTAAAGTCACCACGTAGAAGGGAAACAATAAAATAAGAGAACTATTTTATTATTTATTTAAAAAATACTTTATATTTTATTGTTTCCCTTCTACGTGACTTTACCGAAAGAACCAAGAATATAAAATGTATTGTTTTCTTTTTTTAAGGATACACACACGGGTATTTTGTTGTTAATCGTACACCACTGACTGCTAAGGCAGCAGCATCACCATCATCACCAACTGGTGTGGCTGCTTGTAATAATATAATATCCGTAGCAATCCCTTTCTTACTTGCAGACATGGGCTGTCTCCGGGGGGGGGGGGGGGGGGGAGGTCTCCCCTTTCTTCCCACGTCCACAACAACGCAGTACGGGCCTTTGGGCAGACGTCCCGATGCGGCATCACGTAGCACTGTGCGCTAACCACTGTGCCACCGCTCCCCCCCCCCCCCCCCCCCCCGGACTAAAACAGCGCACAACGCATGCACTTTCAATTTAATTTAAAAGGCCCCACCAGCCCAATTGGCCTCTCAACAAATCTCGTAATAATAGTATTGAAGAAAATCAACAGATTCCTTAATAATATGGCGTGGTTTGAAAATTATTTTTTTATAAAAGTGTAAGCAACGTTTCGGGCAATGGCCCTTCTTCAAAGTACATGATAGCCGTAAGGGCTGTGTAGCCAATATAACTCACACGAGCGCGCACTCACACAAAGACAACAAAGATCCCCCGTGTAGCCTTGTAACAGACTGTTGGGGCATTCCTGCTAACGGCTTTGGCCGTTAGCAGGAATCGAACTCGGGTCGCCAGGTTCGGTGCACAGTGCGCTAACCGCTGCACCACCGCTCCCCCCGTACACACACGAACACACACATAAACATACACCCGAACACACACACATTAACACACACACACACACGAACATACACACGCACACACACATCCACACTCGTGCTGTGAACATGCACTTATTTAAGGCAGCCGAAAAAGGCTCATCGCCCAAAACGTCGTTTATTATATCAAAGGGGTCCCCCCCCCCTTCCTCCGCGTGCCACGCAGTGTTCATGGTGGACTCGTGGGGGCCGTGCTGTCTACGCGACTCGACTTAAACGTGCACCCATCCTGGCACAGGGGGGCTGTGGTGGCGTCACCGCTAACGGCGGTCGTTGCTGACGGCCGTGATGATGACAACGAAGCATCAGCAGCACCACCATCGGCAAAATCATTTCAGCGTTGTGCGCGCTCGCTCGAGTGTATGTGTGTGTGTGGTTCACCCCCTCTCCCACCCCCACACTCAATCCACAGCTGGATGAAGGCCTCCCCGCACGCCGTGTCGATCTAAGGGGTGTCTGTCCGACTCCGTAGGTGGCACGCTTCGAACGCGACGCGAGCGCCCGTCTTCAGGTGAGAATCTCGACGGGTGGGATGGTCTGCTGCGACCAGCAACCGACGATGCTTGCGATTTTCACGTGCAGGCGGGCGCTCGTGTTGCGCCCGAAACGTGGGTGATTTGATTCGTTTCATTTCCACCGACGCGACTTCATCGAAAGAACCGAAGAGTAATGGGTTCATGCAGTCAGGAAAGCTGCAAATATTGAGGGTTCAGTTGGAGGCCTCCAGATCCCGGGGGACCTCTTGGGCGCGCCCGTTTGTTTGACTCCGAGCAGACCCGCTTGCGTTGTTGCTGTTGTTGTTGTCGTTGTTGTTGTTGTCGTTGTTGTTGTTGTTGTCGTTGTTGTTGTTGTTGCTGCGTCTCCGGAGACCGGGCAGATCGATGGTCGACGCTCGGTCGCCCCCGTCGAATGGGTCAACGGGTCGCGATTTCTCACCTCGACAACCGAGCGTGGCCTTGGCGAGGGCTGTTGGCGTCGTTTCCATCGCCGCACTGCGAGAGTTGTTGTGGCCGTCGCTCAGCGCATCGCATCGGCCATGCGGAGAGAACAAGAAGTGGAGGAGGAGGAGGAACGTCGTGGGATCAGCAGCCAGCGCCGCACGGAATTTGCTGCTTCACCCCCACGTGCTGTGTGCCGCGAGGCAGCGCGTGCACTGTGGTCATGTTGAGCACGTGGATACCACACGAGGCAATGACTGCCCCCGCCCCCCACCGCTCCTACTCCACCTCCCCCCCAACCACGAACCCACCCACCATCAACACACACACAGTGTCACCAAGATCAAAGAGTCCCGTCGAGCCTCGCGGTGCTGTGAGCACCCCACTCACCCCGTGGAGGATTTTACCACAAACTAAAACTAAATGAACGATATAACACGTCGTAGGCTTTCGTGACCAATGTCATCCATAATCGCGGTTTTTGGGTTGGATCGCGTAAAATATATAAATGTGTCGTTAAAACCCGCCACCACCCGACACAGCCAACTTGTAAGGGTTGTCACGTAAACAGAACGTGGCTAATTCGTCACTAGTACAGCACTAGTGTGTAGTGTAGTGTGTAGTGTAGTGTATAGTGTAGTGTATAGTGTAGTGTACAGTAGTGTAGTATACTAGTACAGCAACACCGGTGTGTTGGAGAACCAAGCCACAACATTTGCAATCTGAGTACGACGTTTCGCCAGTAATTACAACTAGCTTCATCAGCGAGTAGCACCTGTGGGTGGCCAGCACCACGCCCGGTCGCCTGTGTCTCCGTAGTGGAAATGTATGTTGAATTTTTTTCGCACCGTACGTAGCCGATGTGTTTTGTTCATGTTAACAAAAATTGACACCAGGTACTCAGACACAATATTATACGTGAACACAAATACAGCTAAGTATAGAGGTTATACTTAGCTTGCAAAGGCAAAGGTCCCCCGTATATCCTACACAGACTGTTGGGGAAAGTGCTGTTAGCGAGTAGCACCTATGAAGGCGGAAATCGAACCGGGTTCATAGCGCAGCGTGCTAACCGCTACACCACCGCTCCCCACACACACGCACACACAAACGCATCTCTTCATCCCTGGCAGTGGGCACGTCGCGTTCTGGGGGGGGGCTAATCCTGTAACACGTGACGGTCAGATCGCAACAGCAGCAACAAAAAGACCCCCACAATCCACCGCTTTAACACAGGCCGAGCCAGCCTCGGCGGCAGCGCATTTCGCGAGCGCGGCGCGCGAAAAGTTTTCCCTTCAGAACCCCTCGCGATTCCTCGAGCGCGTCTCCAGCCACCGTGACCGACCCCATCCGCGAGATGTCATCTTCACCAGCCCATCACCACCACCACCATCACCACCACCATCACCACCAGCAGCAGCAGCAGCGGCACCGTCACCATCTCCTCCTCGCGCTGGCCGTCTGCCTGGTGACGCTGGCCACGCCGCCGCCGTGCGTAGCGCAGTTCCCCCGAGCCTGCACCTCGTCGGCGAACTTGGTGTCCAAGATCTGCTGCCCTCCGTGGCCCGGCGACGGCTCTCCGTGCGGGGAGGCGACCTCGCGCGGCTCCTGCGAGCTCGTGGTGCCGTCCACGGAGCCGCACGGGGCGGGCTTCCCCTTCGCGGGAGTCGACGACCGCGAGCTCTGGCCCACGGCCTTCTACTCGCGGCTGTGCCGCTGCCGGGCCAACTACTGGGGCCACGACTGCGGCGAGTGCCGCTTCGGCTGGCGCGGCCCCGCGTGCTCCGAGCGGCCGAGCGAGCCCAGCCTGAGGCGCAACCTGATGCTGCTGAGCGCCGCCGAGCGGAGCAAATTCTTCTCCTACATCAACCTGGCCAAGGTGAGCGTCCACCCGGAGTTCCAGATCGCCGCCGCCACCCTCGAGCAGATGGGCAACGGGACGCGGCCGACGTTCCGGGACGTCAGCGTGTTCGACCTCTTCGTGTGGATGCACTACTACGCGTCGCGCGACGCGCTCCTCGCGGGCCCCGTGGCGTTTCCCGGCGTGGACTTTGCGCACGAGGGGCCTGGGTTCGCGCCGTGGCACCGCGTCTTCCTGCTCATGTGGGAGAGGGAGATCCGCAAGCTGACGGGAGACGAGGAGTTCACGATCCCCTACTGGGACTGGAGGGACGCGCGGGACTGCGAGGTCTGCACGGACGACTTCTTCGGAGGGCGCCATCCGAGCGTCGTGGGCCGACTCAGCCCCGCGTCCGTCTTCTCCGCGTGGCAGGCGAGTCGGCCGATCAGTTCGGCAACGTGGAGGGGGAAAAAAACTAAAAACGAGGGCACGCGTCGTGGCACGGCGCGAGGAGGGAGGGAAATAAATGGCACGGGTGGCACGGGTTGAATGGGTGGAAGGTGTGGAATTAAAGGCACGGGTGACCACGGGTGGCACAGGTGGAATGGGTGGAAGGTGTGGAATTAAAGGCACGGGTGGCACGGGTTGAATGGGTGGAAGGTGTGGAATTAAAGGCACGGGTGACCGCGGCTGACACGGAGGCACAATGTGGCATGGGTGCCACGGGTAGCACGGATAGAAAACACGGCACGGGTGGGCCGGGTGGCATTAATGGCACGGGTGGTATAGATGGTGCTGGTGGTACTCGTGACACTCATGGCACAGGTGGCACGGGTGGAAGGTGTCGAATAAAAGGAACGGGTGCCACGGGCGACACGGATGGCACGGGTGGAATAATGTGTCTGCCCCCTTCACGGCTCTTTGGCAGCCCCCTTCACGGCTCTTTGGCTGCCCCCTTCACGGCTCTTTGGCTGCCCCTTCACGGCTCCTTGGCTGCCCCCTTTACGGCTCCTTGGCTGCCCCCTTTACGGCTCTTTGCCTGCCCCCTTCACGGCTCTTTGGCTGTCCCCTTCACGGCTCTTTAGCTGCCCCTTCACGTCTCTTTGGCTGCCCCTTCACGTCTCTTTGGCTGCCCCTTCACGGCTCTTTGGCTGCCCCCTTCACGGCTCATTGGCTGCCCCTTCACGGCTCTTTGACTGCCCCCTTCATGGCTCTTTGGCTGCCCCCTTCACGACTCTTTGGCTGCCCCTTCACGTCTCTTTGGCTGCCCCCTTCACGGCTCTTTGGCTGTCCCCTTCACGGCTCTTTAGCTGCCCCTTCACGTCTCTTTGGCTGCCCCTTCACGTCTCTTTGGCTGCCCCTTCACGGCTCTTTGGCTGCCCCTTCACGTCTCTTTGGCTGCCCCCTTCACGACTCTTTGGCTGCCCCCTTCACGGCTCTTTGGCTGTCCCCTTCACGGCTCTTTAGCTGCCCCTTCACGTCTCTTTGGCTGCCCCTTCACGTCTCTTTGGCTGCCCCTTCACGGCTCTTTGGCTGCCCCCTTCACGACTCTTTGGCTGCCCCTTCACGGCTCTTTGACTGCCCCCTTCATGGCTCTTTGGCTGCCCCCTTCACGGCTCTTTGGCTGCCCCCTTCACGGCTCTTTGGCTGCCCCCTTACGGGCAGCCGTTTTAAAATACAATTTTTAAAAATCTTAAAACGTCATTTCACGTACGAAAAAATAATGTCCTGAACATGGCAGGGGATCTGGGTAACTACGGAATGTCTTGGTGACGAGCAAATGTACAACAGTGAAACTGCATTGGCAAAGAATAACTAAGAGGGAGAGGAAAAAACTAAGTTTATTCCATAACCTCTTTCTTTGTTTTTATTAAAGTCGGAACCTGTGCTGTCATCTGCTCTTCGATTCTATGGTTCTTTCGGCAAAGTCACGTAGATAGAAAAGAAAATTAAAATAATTAAAATATTTGAAAAAAAATATTTTAACAAAAATATTCACGACGTTTCGATCGCAACACAAGCGACGACCACTTGTGTTGCGATCGAAACGTCGTGACTATTTTGGGTTTTTTGTTATATATATATATATTTTTATATCTTTATTTATTTACTTACTTTTTTATTAAATTTTCCGTCTACGTGACTTTACCGAAAGAGCCGTAGAATATGAATTCCTGCAGTCACGAAAGTTTTAAGTCTCAATCTGCTCCTCGACTCCGGTCCCGGGGTGTCTTGGAACGAGGTGGCCACGGTTTAACCCCTCGGCAGGTCACGTGACCTGCCGAGCGGCTGGCGTCTGCGTTGTGTGTGCACGAGGTGGCTCTTGTTCTTCTTCTTCTTCGTTCTCTTTGAAAGGTTGCCGATCCCAGAGCCATTGTGTGCGTCAACGTGCTCTGTCGGATGGCAGCGACAACGGCAACAGCGGGTTTGTCCCACCGACTGCAAACCGATACAAATATGGGAGTGTACTGTTATTTTGACGTGGATGGTTTTGTATGCAGATTCGCTGACAGTTTCATCGTCATAATGGGAATGTGCGAGTTGAATTGTGTTTGATGGTCAACGAAGCTTGTCAATGTTGAAGCGTAAATAGAATGTGCAAAAAAATGAGAGAGTGAGCAGAGAGAGAGTAGATAGAGAGAGAGCAGAGAGAGAGCAGATAGAGAGCAGAGAGAGAGAGAGCAGATAGAGAGAGAGCAGAGAGAGAGCAGAGAGAGAGCAGAGAGAGAGAGAGCACAGAGAGAGAGCAGAGAGAGCACAGAGAGAGAGAGCAGAGAGAGAGAGAGCAGAGAGAGGGCAGATAGAGAGAGAGTTGCTCTCCAGAGCTGCCGTCCAGCGGGGCCTCTCCCACCAGCAGTGGCACGAGCAGAACCATTGCAGGAGCTGCGCCTGTTCCTTGGCCTTGGACTAGACGAAACTGAACGAGAAAAACATTTAGTTAGTTTTTACTAGGTAAGGCCTACTGAGCTATGTAGCTCTGGTCGAGAAGCGACATCGGTCCCAAATGAAAGCTCAACCAAGTGGCTTATCATGTAGAGACGTATAGCAGCCAAATACTACGTACGGTGCGAAAGAAGTTCAATGTGCGTACCTCCGATTAGCACGGTTGGCTAAGTACGGTGCGAAAGAAGTTCAATATACATTCCACTGATTCGCAGGATTGGCTAGGTACGGCGCGAAAGAACTTAAACTTACATACATTCCTCCGATTATCAATATCGGCAACGTACGGTGCGAAAGAAAGCTCGACCGACATGCAACACGCGTCCCACTCTCCCCCCCCCCCCCACTGCAGGTGATCTGCACCCGGCCGGACGACTACAACCGCCTGGGGGTGCTGTGCGACGGCTCCCCGGAGGGCCCCGTGCTGCGCAACCCGGGGCGTCACGACCCAACGCGCATCGCCTCGCTGCCCACGAGCGCCCACGTGGAGTCCTGCCTCGGCCTCGCCGACTTCGACAGCCCGCCCCTCAACCGCGACGCGAACCGGAGCTTCAGGAACACGCTGGAAGGTCCGCGTCCAGCTGGTCGTGCGCGCGCACACGCGCGCGCGGCGAAGATTACGCAGCACGCCGTCACGGCCGCCCACCATCCCCTCGTCGTGGGAGCCTCTAGCAGACTTGTTGGGGCAAGTGTTGTTGTTGTTGTTAGCGAGTAGAGCAACCTACGAAGGTCGGCACGGCACATACGTGGGGGTGGGTGGACAACACCGCGCCCGTGCCGCCTTTGTCTCCCCGGTGGTAATGTTCACGCTGTGTACGAGACAAAGATCTTGCACACAGAGGCAAAGATCCACGTCCGTAAAATCCCAAACAGACTGCAGGAGCAAGTGATGCGAGCGAGTAGGCAGGCACGGTACACGAGGTGGTGGGTGACCAACACCGCGCCCGTGCCGCCTTTGTCTCCCCAGTGGCGACGTTGACTCCACACCACGGCACCAGGTACTCCTCGCGAGGCTGAGTCGACCGCGGGGAGGCCCAGGACCGGTTCAGATCAATCGTCACGGGTGTTGGTGGGCAGTGAGCGGGAATCGAACCCGGGGTTCGCCAGGTTCGGAGCGCACACGAGCACCGGACGCCGTGTCGACAAAGACAAAGATCCCCCGTGTAGCCTTAACGGACTGTTGGGGCAAGTGCTGTTAGCGAGTCGCAGCACCTATGAAGGCCGGCACGGCACACGAGGTGACCAGCACCACACCCGGTCGCCTTTAGTCTCCTGAGTGGCGATGTTTGTATGTATAGGTTGAACTTCTTTCGCACCGTACGTAGTCAACCGTGCGAATCCGAGGTGCGGAAGTTGTTTCCTACACACCGCACCAGGTACTCATTTGAGGCTGAGTCGGCCTAGGGGAGGCCCAGTACCGGTTCAGATAATCGTCACCGGTGTTGGCCGTGAGCGGAAATCGAACCCGGGTCGCCGGGTTCATAGCCCAGCGCGCTAACTGTTACACCAAAGACAAAGATCCCCCATTTAGCCTTAACAGACTGTAGGGGCAAGTGCTGTTAGCGAGCACCTATGAAGGCCGGCACGACACACGAGGGGGTGGGTGGCCAACACCACGCCCGGCCGCCTTTGTCTCCCCCATGGCGATGTTTACACACCGCACCAGGTACTCATGTATGGCTGAATCGACCTAGGGGAGGCCCGGGACCGGTTCAGATAATCGTCACTGGTGTTGGCCATGAGCAGTAATCGAACCCGGGTCGCTTGGTTCATAGCGCAGCGCGCTAACTGCTACACCACACGCAACAACAAGAACCCACATTCGCCACTAAGATGACTGAGATGACTGGCTGATGCACCACCTGTGCCCCCTACTATGCCAATCTGCTGTGCTTTAGCCACCCGGCGCTCCGCTCGTTGTTGTGAGCGTCGCTCCTCCGCCCTCCGTTGTTGTTGGAGGGCGACTGCCTCCAACTGCCCAGTAGCAATCCTTCACGAGCCTCCTCCACAGAGGCCGATCTTGACACCGCTGGTACCAGTCATCGGCAAGTCCACTCAGCTCCACGTCCTCCTGTACCACATCACTCCATCTTTTCTCTAGCCCGTGCCGCGCCCGTTTAGCCCCCTCGATCCGGCCCAACAAAAGCTGTACACACGCACGCACACACGCACGCACACACACACACACGCGCACTCTCCCTCTCGTTGGCAATGTCTGGCACCCACGCGACTCCCCCCCCCCAGGCTTCGCTGACCCGCTGACCGGCATGGTGACCCCCTCGCGCAGCAGCATGCACAACTCCCTGCACATCTTCATGAACGGCTCCATGTCCTCGGTGCAGGGCTCCGCCAACGACCCCATCTTCACGGTGCACCACACCTTCGTAGACAGGTGAAGGGACGGAGCCGGACTGTAGCTGGGGCGAGGTGATGTCAGCATGGGGCAATGTGAGATCATCATCGGGCAATGTGATATCAGCATGGGGCAATGTGATATCACCATCGGGAAATGTGACATCATCATGGGGCAATGTGATATCATCATGGGACAATGTGATATCATTATGGGGCAATGTGATATCATCATGGGGCAATGTGATATCAGCATGGGGCAATGTGATATCACCATCGGGAAATGTGACATCATCATGGGGCAATGTGATATCATCATGGGACAATGTGATATCATTATGGGGCAATGTGATATCATCATGGGGCAATGTGATATCAGCATGGGGCAATGTGATATCATCATGGGGAAATGGGATATCATCATGGGGCAATGTGATATCATGACGGGGCAATGTGATATCACCATCGGGCAATGTGATATCATCACAGGGCAATGTGATATCATCATGGGGCAATGTGATATCATCACAGGGCAATGTGAGATCATCATGGAGCGATGTGATATCATCACAGGGCAATGTGATATCATCATGGGACAATGTGATATCATCATGGGGCAATGTGATATCATCGTAGGGCAATGTTATATCATCATGGGGCAATGTGATATCATGGGGCAATGTGATATCAGCATGGGGCAATGTGATATCAGCATGAGGCAATGTGATATCATCATGGGGCAATGTGATATCAGCATGGGGCAATGTGATATCAGCATGGGGCAATGTGATATCATCATGGGCAATGTGATATCGTCATGGGGCAATGTGATATCATCATGGGGTAATGTGATATCATCACAGGGCAATGTGAGATCATCATGGAGCGATGTGATATCATCACAAGGCAATGTGATATCATCATGGGGCAATGTGATATCATCATGGGGCAAGGTGATATAATCATGGGGCAATGCATTATCAGCATGGGGCAATGTGATATCATCATGGGGCAATGTGATATCATCATGGAGCAATGTGATATCATCAAGGGGCAATGTAATATCAGCATGGGGCTATGTGATATCATCATTGGGCAATGTGATATCATGGGGCAATGTGATATCATCATGGGGCAATGTGATATCATGACGGGGCAATGAGATATCAGCATGGGGCGATGTGATATCGTCATGGGGCAATGTGATATCCCCATCGGGCAATGTGATATCATCACAGGGCAATGTGATATCATCATGGGGCAAAGTGATATCATCACAGGGCAATGTGAGCTCATCATGGAGCGATGTGATATCATCATAGGGCAATGAGATATCAGCATGAGGCAATGTGATATCATTATGGGGTAATGTGATATCATCATGGGGAATTGTTATATCATCACGGGGCAATGTGATATCAGCATGGGTCAATGTTATATCATCACAGGGCAATGTGATATCAGCATCGGGCAATGGGATATCATCACAGGGCAATGTGATATCAGCATGGGGCAATGTGAGATCATCATGGGGCAATGCGATATCACAATGGGGAAATGTGATATCATCATGGGGCAATGTGATATCATCATTGGTTCAATGCGATATCATCATGGGGTAATATGATATCATCATGGGGCAATGTGATATCATGATGAGGTAATGTTATATCATCATGGGGCAATGTGATATCATCATGGGGCAATGTGATATCAGCTGGAGAAAAGTGATATCAGCATGGGGCAATGTGATATCATCATGGGGCAATGTGATATCATCGTAGGGCAAGGTAATATTATCATAGGGCAAGGTGATATCATCATGGGGCAATGTGATATCATCTCGAGGCAATGTGATATCATCACGGGGCAATGTGATATCACCATGAGGCAATGTGATAACATCATGAGGCAAAGTGATATCATCATGGGGCAATGTGATATCAGCATGGGGCAATGCGATATCAGCATGGGGCAATGTTATATCATCATGGGGCAATGTGATATCATCATGGGGCAATGTGATATCATCATGGGTCAATGTGATATCATCATGGGGCAATGTGATATCAGCATGGGGCAATGTGATATCACCATGGGGCAATGTGATATCATCATGGGGCAATGTAATATCATCATGGGGCAATGTGATATCATAATGAGGCAATGTGATATCATCATGGGGCAATGTGATATCATCATGAGGCAATGTGATCATGAGTCAATGTGATATCATCATGGGGCAATGTGATATCATCATAGGGCGAGGTGATATCATCATAGGGCAAGGTGATATCATCATGGGGAAATGTTATCATCACGAGGCAATGTGATATCATCACGGGGCAATGTGATATTATCATGAGTCAATGTGATATCATCATGAGGCAAGTGATATCATCATGGGGCAATGTGATATCAGCATGGGGCAATGTGATATCAGCATGGGGCAATGCGATATCAGCATGGGGCAATGTGATATCATCATGGGGCAAGGTGATATCATCATGGGGCAATGCGATATCAGCATGGGGCAATGTGATATCATCATGGGGCAATGTGATATCATCATGGAGCAATGTGATATCATCAAGGGGCAATGTAATATCAGCATGGGGCTATGTGATATCATCATTGGGCAATGTGATATCATGGGGCAATGTGATATCATCATGGGGCAATGTGATATCATGACGGGGCAATGAGATATCAGCATGGGGCGATGTGATATCCTCATGGGGCAATGTGATATCCCCATCGGGCAATGTGATATCATCACAGGGCAATGTGATATCATCATGGGGCAAAGTGATATCATCACAGGGCAATGTGAGCTCATCATGGGTCAATGTGATATCATCATGGGGCAATGTGATATCAGCATGGGGCAATGTGATATCACCATGGGGCAATGTGATATCATCATGGGGCAATGTAATATCATCATGGGGCAATGTGATATCATAATGAGGCAATGTGATATCATCATGGGGCAATGTGATATCATCATGAGGCAATGTGATCATGAGTCCATGTGATATCATCATGGGGCAATGTGATATCATCATAGGGCGAGGTGATATCATCATAGGGCAAGGTGATATCATCATGGGGAAATGTTATCATCACGAGGCAATGTGATATCATCACGGGGCAATGTGATATTATCATGAGTCAATGTGATATCATCATGAGGCAAGTGATATCATCATGGGGCAATGTGATATCAGCATGGGGCAATGTGATATCAGCATGGGGCAATGTGATATCATCACGGGGCAAGGTGATATCATCATAGGGCAATGTGATATCATCATGGGGCAATGTGATATCATCATAGGGCAATGTGATATCATCATGGAGCAATGTGATATCAGCATGGGGCAATGTGATATCAGCATGGGGCAATGGGATATCATCATGGGGCAATGTGATATAATCATGGGGCAATGTGATATCATCATGGGGCAATGTGATATCATAATGAGGCAATGTGATATCATTATGGGGCAATGTGATATCATCATGAGGCAATGTGATCATGAGTCAATGTGATATCATCATGGGGCAATGTGATATCATCATGAGGCAATGTGATATCATCATGGGGCAATGTGATATCATCATGAGGCAATGTGATATCATCATGAGGCAATGTGATATCATCATGGGGCAATGTGATATCATTATGAGTCAATGTGATATCATCATGAGTCAATGTGATATAATCTCCCATCCCGTGCGCAGTCTGTACGAGCGGTGGCTGCGCACTCACGGCGCGAACGCCTCCTCCTACCCGGCGCGCGGCTCGCCGATCGGCCAGAACGGCGGTGACTTCATGGTGCCCTTCCTGCCGCTCGTCACCAACGCGGCCGCCTTCGTGCCCTCGAGGGAGCTGGGCTACGAGTACGAGTACTTGCAGCCAGGTACGCGCCGCGGGAGCGGCGGCGCCCGCCCTACCCACGTGTTTGACGAGCACCCTAGTGTTCTATTAGTGTTCACCCTCGTGTTCTGTTAGTGTTCACCCTTGTGTTCTATTAGTGAGCACCCTCCTGTTCTGTTAGTGTTCACCCTCGTGATGTTAGTGTTCACCCTCGTGTTCTGTTAGTGTTCACCCTCGTGTTCTGTTAGTGTTCACCCTCGTGTTCTGTTAGTGTTCACCCTCGTGTTGTGTTAGTGTTCACCCTCGTGTTCTGTTAGTGTTCACCCTCGTGTTCTGTTAGTGTTCACCCTCGTGTTGTTAGTGTTCACCCTCGTGTTCTGTTAGTGTTCACCCTCGTGTTCTGTTAGTGTTCACCCTCGTGTTGTTAGTGTTCACCCTCGTGTTCTGTTAGTGAGCACCCTCGTGTTCTGTTAGTGTTCACCCTCGTGTTGTGTTAGTGTTCACCCTCGTGTTCTGTTAGTGTTCACCCTCGTGTTCTGTTAGTGTTCACCCTCGTGTTGTTAGTGTTCACCCTCGTGTTCTGTTAGTATTCACCCTCGTGTTCTGTTAGTGTTCACCCTCGTGTTGTTAGTGTTCACCCTGTTGTTCTGTTAGTGAGCACCCTCGTGTTCTGTTAGTGTTCACCCTCGTGTTCTGTTAGTGTTCACCCTCGTGTTCTGTTAGTGTTCACCCTCGTGTTCTGATAGTGTTCACCCTCGTGTTGTTAGTGTTCACCCTCGTGTTCTGTTAGTGTTCACCCTCGTGTTGTTAGTGTTCACCCTCGTGTTCTGTTAGTGTTCACCCTCGTGTTGTTAGTGTTCACCTTCGCGTTGTTAGTGAGCACCCTCGTGTTGTGTTAGTGTTCACCCTCGTGTTCTGTTAGTGAGCACCCTCGTGTTGTTAGTGTTCACCTTCGTGTTGTTAGTGTTCACCCTCGTGTTGTTAGTGTTCACCCTAGTGTTCTGTTAGTGTTCACCCTCGTGTTGATAGTGTTCACCCTCGTGTTCTGTTAGTGAGCACCCTCGTGTTGTTAGTGTTCACCCTCGTGTTCTGTTAGTATTCACCCTCGTGTTCTGTTAGTGTTCACCCTCGTGTTGTTAGTGTTCACCCTGTTGTTCTGTTAGTGAGCACCCTCGTGTTCTGTTAGTGTTCACCCTCGTGTTCTGTTAGTGTTCACCCTCGTGTTCTGTTAGTGTTCACCCTCGTGTTCTGATAGTGTTCACCCTCGTGTTGTTAGTGTTCACCCTCGTGTTCTGTTAGTGTTCACCCTCGTGTTGTTAGTGTTCACCCTCGTGTTCTGTTAGTGTTCACCCTCGTGTTGTTAGTGTTCACCTTCGCGTTGTTAGTGAGCACCCTCGTGTTGTGTTAGTGTTCACCCTCGTGTTCTGTTAGTGAGCACCCTCGTGTTGTTAGTGTTCACCTTCGTGTTGTTAGTGTTCACCCTCGTGTTGTTAGTGTTCACCCTAGTGTTCTGTTAGTGTTCACCCTCGTGTTGATAGTGTTCACCCTCGTGTTCTGTTAGTGAGCACCCTCGTGTTGTTAGTGAGCACCCTAGTGTTCTGCTAGTGAGCACCCTAGTGTTCTGTTAGTGTTCACCCTCGTGTTGTTAGTATTCACCCTCGTGTTCTGTTAGTGTTCACCCTCGTGTTGATAGTGTTCACCCTCGTGTTCTGTTAGTGAACACCCTCATGTTGTTAGTGTTCACCCTCGTGTTCTGTTAGTGAGCACCCTCGTGTTCTGTTAGTGAGCACCCTCGTGTTCTGTTAGTGTTCACCCTCGTGTTGTTAGTGTTCACCCTCGTGTTGTTAGTGTTCACCCTCGTGTTCTGTTAGTGTTCACCCTCGTGTTCTGTTAGTGAGCACCCTCGTGTTCTGTTAGTGTTCACCCTCGTGTTCTGTTAGTGTTCACCCTCGTGTTCTGTTAGTGAGCACCCTCGTGTTCTGTTAGTGTTCACCCTCGTGTTGTGTCAGTGTTCACCCTCGTGTTGTTAGTGAGCACCCTCGTGTTGTTAGTGTTCACCCTCGTGTTGTTAGTGAGCACCCTCGTGTTCTGTTAGTGAGCACCCTCGTGTTGTTAGTGAGCACCCTCGTGTTCTGTTAGTGTTCACCCTCGTGTTCTTTTAGTGTTCACCCTCGTGTTGTTAGTGAGCACCCTCGTGTTGTTAGTGTTCACCCTCGTGTTCTGTTAGTGTTCACCCTAGTGTTGTTAGTGTTCACCCTCGTGTTCTGTTAGTGTTCACCCTCGTGTTGTTAGTGAGCACCCTCGTGTTCTGTTAGTGTTCACCCTCGTGTTGTGTTAGTGTTCATCCTCGTGTTGTTAGTGTTCACCCTCGTGTTCTGTTAGTGAGCACCCTCGTGTTCTGTTAGTGAGCACCCTCGTGTTCTGTTCCTGTTCACCCTCGTGTTGTTAGTGTTCACCCTCGTGTTCTGTTAGTGTTCACCCTCGTGTTATGTTAGTGAGCACCCTCGTGTTCTGTTAGTGTTCACCCTCGTGTTGTGTTAGTGTTCACCCTCGTGTTGTTAGTGTTCACCCTCGTGTTCTGTTAGTGAACACCGTCGTGTTGTTAGTGTTCACCCTCGTGTTCTGTTATTGTTCACCGTCGTGTTGTTAGTGTTCACCCTCGTGTTGTGTTAGTGTTCACCCTCGTGTTCTGTTAGTGAGCACCCTCGTGTTCTGTTAGTGTTCACCCTCGTGTTCTGTTAGTGAGCACCCTCGTGTTCTGTTAGTGAGCACCCTAGTGTTCTGTTCGTGTTCACCCTCGTGTTCTGTTAGTGAGCACCCTCGTGTTCTGTTAGTGAGCACCCTCGTGTTCTGTTAGTGTTCACCCTCGTGTTCTGTTAGTGTTCACCCTCGTGTTCTGTTAGTGTTCACCCTAGTGTTCTGTTCGTGTTCACCCTCGTGTTCTGTTAGTGAGCACCCTCGTGTTCTGTTAGTGTTCACCCTCGTGTTGTGTTAGTGTTCACCCTCGTGTTGTTAGTGTTCACCCTCGTGTTCTGTTAGTGTTCACCCTCGTGTTCTGTTAGTGAGCACCCTCGTGTTCTGTTAGTGTTCACCCTCGTGTTGTGTTAGTGTTCACCCTCGTGTTGTTAGTGTTCACCCTCGTGTTCTGTTAGTGAACACCGTCGTGTTGTTAGTGTTCACCCTCGTGTTCTGTTATTGTTCACCGTCGTGTTGTTAGTGTTCACCCTCGTGTTGTGTTAGTGTTCACCCTCGTGTTCTGTTAGTGAGCACCCTCGTGTTCTGTTAGTGTTCACCCTCGTGTTCTGTTAGTGAGCACCCTCGTGTTCTGTTAGTGAGCACCCTAGTGTTCTGTTCGTGTTCACCCTCGTGTTCTGTTAGTGAGCACCCTCGTGTTCTGTTAGTGAGCACCCTCGTGTTCTGTTAGTGTTCACCCTCGTGTTCTGTTAGTGTTCACCCTCGTGTTCTGTTAGTGTTCACCCTCGTGTTCTGATAGTGTTCACCCTCGTGTTGTTAGTGTTCACCCTCGTGTTCTGTTAGTGTTCACCCTCGTGTTGTGTTAGTGTTCACCCTCGTGTTGTTAGTGTTCACCCTCGTGTTCTGTTAGTGAACACCGTCGTGTTGTTAGTGTTCACCCTCGTGTTCTGTTATTGTTCACCGTCGTGTTGTTAGTGTTCGCCCTCGTGTTGTGTTAGTGTTCACCCTCGTGTTCTGTTAGTGAGCACCCTCGTGTTCTGTTAGTGTTCACCTTCGTGTTCTGTTAGTGAGCACCCTCGTGTTCTGTTAGTGAGAACCCTAGTGTTCTGTTCGTGTTCACCCTCGTGTTCTGTTAGTGTTCACCCTCGTGTTGTGTTAGTGTTCACCCTCGTGTTGTGTTAGTGTTCACCCTCGTGTTCTGTTAGTGTTCACCCTCGTGTTGTTAGTGTTCACCCTCGTGTTCTGTTAGTGAACACCGTCGTGTTGTTAGTGTTCACCCTCGTGTTCTGTTATTGTTCACCGTCGTGTTGTTAGTGTTCGCCCTCGTGTTGTGTTAGTGTTCACCCTCGTGTTCTGTTAGTGAGCACCCGCGTGTTCTGTTAGTGTTCACCTTCGTGTTCTGTTAGTGAGCACCCTCGTGTTCTGTTAGTGAGAACCCTAGTGTTCTGTTCGTGTTCACCCTCGTGTTCTGTTAGTGTTCACCCTCGTGTTGTGTTAGTGTTCACCCTCGTGTTGTGTTAGTGTTCACCCTCGTGTTCTGTTAGTGTTCACCCTCGTGTTGTTAGTGTTCACCCTCGTGTTCTGTTAGTGAACACCGTCGTGTTGTTAGTGTTCACCCTCGTGTTCTGTTATTGTTCACCGTCGTGTTGTTAGTGTTCGCCCTCGTGTTGTGTTAGTGTTCACCCTCGTGTTCTGTTAGTGAGCACCCTCGTGTTCTGTTAGTGTTCACCTTCGTGTTCTGTTAGTGAGCACCCTCGTGTTCTGTTAGTGAGAACCCTAGTGTTCTGTTCGTGTTCACCCTCGTGTTCTGTTAGTGTTCACCCTCGTGTTGTGTTAGTGTTCACCCTCGTGTTCTGTTAGTGTTCACCCTCGTGTTCTATTAGTGTTCACCCTCGTGTTCTGTTAGTGTTCACCCTCGTGTTCTGTTAGTGAGCACCCTCGTGTTCTGTGAGTGTTCACCCTCGTGTTCTGTTAGTGTTCACCCTAGTGTTCTGTTAGTGTTCACCCTCGTGTTCTGTTAGTGTTCACCCTCGTGTTCTGTTAGTGTTCACCCTCGTGTTCTGTTAGTGTTCACCCTCGTGTTCTGTTAGTGTTCACCCTCGTGTTCTGTTAGCGAGCGGTGCGCGGCACGGCACGACGGAGCGGTCGATTCGGTGGGCCAACACCACGGCCTGCCACGCCCGCCGACGCTGGCTCCCTCGCGGCGATGTTTCCACACCGCGGCAGGCGGTACAAAGACAAAGATCCCCCGTATAGCCTCGGCAGGCTGTCTCCGGCGAGTGCAGCCAGCGAGGCCGGCACGGCACACGAGGGGGCGGGTGAGACAGCACCACGTGCCGCGCCTCTGTCTACCTCGTGGCGATGTTTACACGAAGCACTCGTTTGAGGCTGAGTCGACCTTGGGGAGGCCCATTGCCTGTTCAGGCAATCGTCACCGGCGGCGGCCGTGAACGGGAATCGATCCCAGATCGCCGGTTTCGTAGCGCAGCGTGCGCTAACCACTGCGCCACCGCTCCCCGCGTAATCTATTTTAAATCACCCACTGTGCATTAATGACACCACCTGCACACGCCTAGCCTAGCCGAGATGGTTGTGATGGTGGTGGTGGTGGCTACGCTGCACGTGGCTGCCCGTGAGCCAGCACTGCTGAAGTAGCAGCAGCAGCAGCGAGGGGTTGGTGGATCACCGCACGAATGTTGTGGAACTCCCTGCTGCTGCTTCTTCTTCTTCTTCTACCCGTGGGTGTCGAGGAGGTGCCGTCATGAGGAGGCGATGCAGCGAAGTGTGGACGAATCTCCGTACGGGGATGGAGCGTTGTCGTTGTTGTTGTTATTGTTGTTGTCATTGTTGTTATTGTTGTTGTCGTTGTTGTTGTTGTTATTGTTGTTGTTGTCCCCTCGCGCAAGGCGTGGGATTCCTCCTCCCACGCGGAATAACAATGATGTGCAAAAACCACGACTCGTCATGAAGCGGTTGAAACCACGTGAGAGTAACAACCAATGTAGCAGCAGCAGGAACCCTCGTGACATGAGTCAGCGTGGCTTGTCTGTAGCGAGTGATAACCCACGTGGTAAGACAAGCACGTGGTGCTGGTAGTGGTGGTGGTAGTGGTGCACAATCGCTTCTCGTAAACAACAACAACTCACACCTTCATCATCAACCTCTCCCCCTGCCCCCCCCCACACTTGCCCCGCCCCCCCCCACACTTGCCCCGCCCCCCCCCACACTCGCCGCACCCCCCCACACTTGCCCCCCCACCCCCCACACTTGCCCCACCCCCCACACTTGCCCCACCCCCCACACTTGCCCCACCCCACCCCCCACACTTGCCCCACCCCCCACACTTGCCCCACCCCCCACACTTGCCCCCCCACCCCACACACTTGCCCCCCCCCACCCCCCACACTTGCCCCCCCCACCCCCCACACACTTGCCCCCCCCCCCCACACTTGCCCCACCCCCCACACTTGCCCCACCCCCACCCCCCACACTTGCCCCCCCACCCCACACACTTGCCCCCCCCCACCCCCCACACTTGCCCCTCCCACCCCCCACACACTTGCCCCCACCCCCCACACTTGCCCCACCCCCCACACTTGCCCCACCCCCACCCCCCACACTTGCCCCACCCCCACCCCCCACACTTGCCCCCACCCCACACACTTGCCCCCCCCCCCACACTTGCCCCCACCACCCACCCCACACACTTGCCCCCACCCCCCACACTTGCCCCATCGCAGGCGGCGAGGGCTCCTGGTTCACGCGCTTCCAGGTGCAGCTGCAGCAGCTGTGGCCGTGGGTGGTGGGCGCCCTGCTGCTGGGCGCCCTGCTCGCCTCCCTGCTGGGGCTGGGCGCGTGGCGGGCGTGCGGCCTCGGGGGGGCGCCCCGTCAGAGGCCACAGCGCGGCGGCTTCCTCGCCTGGGAGGGCGCCCAGGGCAAGGCGGGGGAGGAGACCCGCAGGTTGCTGGATGGCGTCGAGCCCAACGGGATGCCCGGCTCGTTCCAGACGACGTTCTAGCGGTGGTGCTCGTAGTGGTGGTGGTGGTGGTGGTCATGGTGGTGCTCGTGGTGGTGGTCATGGTGGTGGTGGTGGTGGTCATGGTGGTGCTCGTGGTGGTGGTGGTCATGGTGGTGGTGGTGGTGGTCATGGTGGTGGTGGTGGTGTAAGAGTTGTAGGGCAGACATGGGCAGGAGGCACTGGGTCATGAGTAGGATGTTGCTGGTGGTAGTGGTGGTGATCGTGGTGGTGGTGTTGGTGATGATGATGATCATGGTGGTGGTGTAAGAGTTGTAGGGCAAACGTGGCCAGGGGGCACGGGGTCATGAGCAGGATGTTGCTGCTGCTGGTGGTGATGGTGGTGGTGGTGATGGTGGTGGTGGTGATGGTGGTGATGGTTACCACGATTTCATGGGCCCAGAGTAGAACTTGATTCTGGAAGGTGGTAATATTTGCTGTACAGATTCTCTTCTGTCATCACAATCATGATGAATCATCAATTATCCAACCACCATCCGTCACCCTCATCATCATAGGAGGGCACATGACCCAATGGTATTACCCCAGCGCGTCCTAAATGACGTTCTAGTGGTGGTGGCTGTGAGGCTAGATAGGGGATATTTGCCATTATTCTTTTGGTGGTGGTATGTCCGCAATTTATAGGTGCTGCTCGCTAACAGCACTTGCCCTCGACAGCCTGTGAAGGCTATACGGGGGATCTTTGTTTTCGGTGGTGTCGTAGGAGTTGTACGGGAGACACGGGCAGGACGCGCGGGGCAAAATACCATTGTACGTGTGTGTGTGTATACGTGTGTATACGTGTGTGTATATATATACTGTGTGTGTACGTGTGTGTGTGTACGTGTGTGTGTAGTTTCATAGTTTAGTTTCATAGTTTCATTTATTTGGTATAGCCCTGTGAGCCATTCGGCTCTTGAATCGGGTGCAACCGCAACAAACAAAAAAACAAAAACATGAACAAGAAAACATCTTAAAGTGACTTTGTGCATGTGCAAACAGAAAATCCAGGAAAAAAACATCAAAATATTCCTGAAATAGCACCGTACACCAACGCTGTGTGAAAAAATCCCAGTGGGATACAAGTCAAACAACAACAAGAAAACTTAGATTAAGGCCATCAGTCTCACTCCGTACTACAATAAACAAAACATGGCCAAACCAAAAAACTTTTAGAAATCACCAAAATAAAGCCATAAATGCAATGTAACAGTGATCATAGGAACTGTGACCGAATTTTGAACAATAAACTACATAAATAACATGTAACACCAAACCCTGCATGAGCCACTCCACAAACAATAGGAGCATCAGTCGGAGTATCGCATTTTTCAATGTACCTTTAAGATAATACTTTGCAGCGGTCATCCGGAGCGAAACATTTTATTTTATTTTAGGTCACTAAATAGCAGTGGCAGCTAGGAGTGTACAACTCCTCTAGAACAGTTTTGAGTGAAGATCTCATCGGTAGTGATTCAAGTTGCAGTTTATTGGCAATAGCATTCCAGACCCTGGGGGCATCAATAGCAAAGGCCTTTCATCCGGTCTTTGTACGGCAACGGGGAATGTGAAGCTGGTAAATGAGTGAAGACCTGAGGTCAAATTTGTTCTTTGAAACAGAGAGGAGATCCAGCAGGTAGTCTGCGGATTTTTCTGTAAGTACATCGTGAATAAATAATATCTGGTGTACAAGCCGTCGAACATTAAGAGATGTTAAGTTTGACCCAATGTAGAGATCACAGTGGTGAGTCCTATATGGGCAGTTCAATGCAAATCTTAAGGCCGAGTGATAGATGGAATCAAGCTTCTTCAGTAGAGTACTTGGGGCTGATTTATACACGATGTCACCGTAGTCAAGTAGAGGCAGTATGATAGCTTTTATCAATTCCAAACGGAACATAGGGGGGAAGCAGTGCTTGTGTCGATGATCATTGAACGCTATGATCATTGCACACTATGGTCATTGAACGCTATGATCATTGCACACTATGGTCATTAAACGCTATGATCATTGCACACTATGGTCATTGAACGCTATGATCATTGCACACTATGGTTATTGAACGCTATGATCATTGCACACTATGGTCATTGAACGCTATGATCATTGCACACCATGATCATTGAACGCTATGATCATTGAACGCTATGATCATTGCACACTATGGTCATTGAACGCTATGATCATTGCACACTATGGTCATTGAACGCTATGATCATTGCACACCATGATCATTGAACGCTATGATCATTGAACGCTATGATCATTGCACACTATGGTCATTGAACGCTATGATCATTGCACACTATGGTCATTGAACGCTATGATCATTGAACGCTATGATCATTGCACACTATGGTCATTGAACGCTATAATCATTGCACACTATGGTCATTGAACGCTATGATCATTGCACACCATGATCATTGAACGCTATGATCATTGAACGCTATGATCATTGCACACTATGGTCATTGAACGCTATGATCATTGCACACTATGGTCATTGAACGCTATGATCATTGAACGCTATGATCATTGCACACTATGGTCATTGAACGCTATGATCATTGCACACCATGGTCATTGAACGCTATGATCATTGCACACCATGATCATTGCACACTATGGTCATTGAACGCTATGATCATTGCACACTATGGTCATTGAACGCTATGGTCATTGCACACTATGATCATTGAACGCTATGGTCATTGCACGCGATGGCCAATATAATTACCGGCACAGCCCTTCCGCGCTGTTAGGGCTGGAATCCAGCACCGGACGCGTCGGTTCGAAGCAGACATCGATTCTGATCGTAGATTCTGTCAAAATGTCGTAGGGTAAATTTCTCTATCATCGTCATCAGCATCATCATCAATATTATAGACGCGAATAAATGATCAATAACTCGTCTGTCATGTGTCCTGAGGATTGAACGTGCGATTGAGTCCTGCTGCGTCGGCAGTGACGCATGATCACAAACAACAACAACAACAAAACGTAACACAATCCTCACAAGCACCGTCCTTCAATGACAGATATCGACTGGGCATATGTAAAAAGGAGCTTTATCCAATATGGATTCTCTGATTCTATAAAAGGGTCATTGCCCGTAACGTCACCTATTAATTTCGGTCCCTATTTATGGCTGTGTGATTGTCGAATGTGGTGGAGTCTACTTGTGATTAGGACGCCACGGTGGCTATGAGATGTTAACTACCTCGCCTGGTATACAGGAGGTCGCGGGTTCAATCCCGACCTTGATACCTACTCGATATTTTGAGCGTGCATGTCTCCCTGAACGTGGTGGCGTGTGTTTTTCTCCGGGTCCTCCTTCCACATCATTTCGAATCAACATCCACGCGTTAAGAGCAGTGGTTCTTCTTCACCTGGGGTGCACGCTGCACCCTCCGGAGGTTCTAGACGTGGTCAGATTGTTTTTGAAGGTAAACACAAATTCAACACAACTACTTGACTCTTTGATTCTTTCGTTAAGGTCACGGAGGTATAAAATAAAATAATTCACGACGTTTCGGGCGCAACACAAGCGTGCGTCATCAGGTGGGAAAAGCATGGTCTGCTGCTGATGCAAACTGTGTTGAAACCTTTTTAAAAGAGTCTGCGCCCGAAACGTCGTGATTTATTTTATTTTCTACCTACCACGTGACTTTACCGAAAGAACCAAAGAGTGTGGATTCGTGCAGTCACGAAAGTTTCAAATCAATTCACAACTACTTTGTTTCATCAAACCTACGTGTTTATTAGAATCATACATATTCTTGGTTCTTTCGGTAAAGTCACGTAGAAGGGAAACAATAAAATAAAAATATATATTTTTTATTGTTTTATATTTTTATCATTTTATTGTTTCCCTTCTACGTGGTGACTTTACCGAAAGAACCAAGAATATGAATCCCTGCAGTCACGAAAGCTTTAAATCAGCAATCATACATGTCTTCTTTTTTTTTGTTACGATTCAGATGCAGGGGGAAGCAAGGCTCCAAGTGAAGGTTAAGAACCACTGCTCCAGAGTATTTGGCTGCTACGAATGTCCACGTGATGAGCCCGCTTCGTTGAGCTATCATTTGTGATAGCCGGGCCGCTTCTGGAGAAAGAGAGCGACGGAGCGGCCCAGTGGGCCTGAGGTGGTAAAATAAAATAAGAGGTTTGAGTTTAGATTGTCTCGCTGGGTGAAGTTCTGTGTCCCATGCAAGTACGGCCATCCACTAACGGCCTTCAACCCGGACATCCTCGTAGAAGGACCCAGCCCCCCCCCCCCCCCATTGTTTGACCCTCCCCGTCCCCTCTCGACTATCGCCAGTGCTGGAGGGGGGTCAATCACGCGCACACCCAACCCAGTAACCCCCCCCCCCACTCCAAGCTCCATCTCACAACATCGCTCTCACCCCCTGGTGAGCAGCTGACCGTCACGAGCCGATCAGCCCCCCCCTCCCGCCCCTTCATAATCCCCCGTCCCCCCCCCCACCTCCGTCCCCTCCTCCCCCAAAATTCCGCTCCCAGTCACCGCGGCTCCTCTCCCTACCGCTCCCTCCGCGACTACCGCGCGAGACTCGGAGAGCCCCGACATCTCTGAGCGGAACGCAGCGACTCGTCACGACGCCGTCAACTTTCACGGGCCGTGTGCAACGCTTGGACGTCTTTCGCAACCGCGCGGCTAAACGCGTGGCCAGACCGCTGCTCGTCGGCCGGGGGCCAAATCCGCTGCCGGATGAAGGCCTCTCGCCCGGCCGACGCTTGAGAATCGCTCCGTCTCTCCTCGGTGGGGATGCCTCGCGGATCCGTCCGTTGGCTTCCACTCCGTCGCTGCTCTCGAACGCCGGACATCAATGCGACAGGCCGGATGAATGCACCCCCGAATGTCCTCGCCCCACCCGCACATCCGATTAGGATGGGTGGCGACGTGCGGTGCGAAAGAAGTTCCACGCAACAAGGCTTTGTTCTTTTTTTGTTTACGTGCTGTCAGGGAAGGGTCATTGCCCGAAACGTCGCCTATTACAGTGAGGGAAAAAGTATTTGATCCCCTGCTGATTTTGTACGTTTGCCCACTGACAAAGAAATGAGCAGTCTATAATTTAATGGTAGGTTTATTTGAACAGTGAGAGACAGAATAACAACAACAAAAATCCAGAAAAACGCATGTCAAAAATGTTATAAATTGATTTGCATTTTAATGAGGGAAATAAGTATTTGACCCCCTCTCAATCAGAAAGATTTCTGGCTCCCAGGTGTCTTTTATACAGGTAACGAGCTGATATTAGGAGCACACTCTTAAAGGGAGTGCTCCTAATGTCAGCTTGTTACCTGTATAAAAGACACCTGGGAGCCAGAAGCAATCAATCAATCAGATTCCAAACTCTCCACCATGGCCAAGACCAAAGAGCTCTCCAAGGATGTCAGGGACAAGATTGTAGACCTACACAAGGCTGGAATAGGCTACAAGACCATTGCCAAGCAGCTTGGTGAGAAGGTGACAACAGTTGGTGCGATTATTCGCAAATGGAAGAAACACAAAAGAACTGTCAATCTCCCTCGGTCTGGGGCTCCATGCAAGATCTCACCTCGTGGAGTTGCAATGATCATGAGAACGGTGAGGAATCAGCCCAGAACTACACGGGAGGATCTTGTCAATGATCTCAAGGCAGCTGGGACCATAGTCACCAAGAAAACAATTGGTAACACACTACGCCGTGAAGGACTGAAATACTGCAGCGCCCGCAAGGTCCCCCTGCTCAAGAAAGCACATATACATGCCCGTCTGAAGTTTGCCAATGAACATCTGAATGATTCAGAGGACAACTGGGTGAAAATGTTGTGGTCAGATGAGACCAAAATGGAGCTCTTTGGCATCAAGTCAACTC